GACTCACTTTGTAGACCAGGCTAGCCTCGAACTTACTGCCATCCATCTACCTCTGCCTCCTTGAGTGCTGAGATTTAAGGTGTGTGTGACCATGCTCACCAGATCACACATCTTGGCTGTAAGGGGGAAGGTACACTTTGAGAAAGGGGAAACCTGGGTTCCTGATGAATCCTGAAATCCACTCACTGTACCAACTCTGTTTCAGTCCCCCAAACTAGTTTATGTACAAAAAAAAGGGGGGGGGAGGCATTATTGTTTCAGCAATTCTTAGTTTGGCTTCTCTGTGCTCCTACATTATCACGAAGAAGCCTCTTCTACTTTGAAATGTTCTAAGAAGATGCTGTGTGACAAATGCAAGATATGCCAGCCTTTAATCCCATCATCACTCAGGAGGCAGAGACAGACAGATCTCTGTGAGGCTGAGGCCAGCCTGATCTACATACAGATTTCCAGGATAGCCAGGGCTACAGGCTATCCTGTAGGCTATCTTTGAGTCAAGAGACCTTGACTCAAAAACACACAACAAAAAGCAAGATCCCCTGTGTCTTGGAGCCCAGTCTGGGATTCTGCATTTTATGAGTTCCCATGGACTAAAGTTTGTTAGTAATGTATATCCAAAGGACAAGAGAGCAAGAAATTTGGGCTCTCCCATAGATGGCACTTTTTTTTTTTAAAAGAAAACAAAATTCAAAATTTACATTCTCTTTGCAATATAAACTCCAGTTACAATCAAATCATTAGGCCAGTTAGACTAGTATTTGTGAGTTTATGGATATATTGGGACGAATTGCAATCCCTGACTCCCACTTCTATGTCCTCTGGACCCTATAGCTTCCCAGCAGCCTCTACAAAGCTACTGTTTTTACTGGCAATGTAGGAAAAAGTCTTCAGCCCAGCTATGGGGTGTGAAATGGCAGCTGCTTGGCAGCATGACCATGGTTTTGATTCAAGACAGTATATCTACTAGAGGCAGCAAGAAGTAATCCAGATGAGCAGCCTGTCCACAGAGGGAACTGGAGCCCTGAGAGAATCCAAGTTATCCTGCGTGATGCATACCACGGTTTGCAAGGGGCAACCCCTGCTCTTTCTCACCTCTGTTTTTGCAGGATGAGGCATTTCAAGAGAAGCATGTCTGCATGATGTATCTCACCTTTGCAAATGAGTTGTTCGGTAAGGACGCACTGGAGGAGCTGGCTGTTCCCACCCAAATAGCTTGTTAATTAGTGCTCTATGCTAACACTCTATGGGAAGGTGGGAGGAAAATTCAGAGGCTTGCACACACTGCAGAATACCAAGCAAGAGGAAAAAAAAAAAACACAACTGAGCAATCACTCATTAAAACTGGTGAGTTCTAAGTAAATATGCACCATTTTCCAATACTGGGTCTCAGTGAAGAGCAGAAGTGGAATTTATAAAAGATATGTTCTGGGGATTGGTTCCATCTCTGTATAGCTCACCTTACGGTAGCAAGTTGCAGGCACTGCTGGAAATGAGGTGACTCCAAGAGTTATCCTATCCTTTCTTTGCCTTCACAAAAGTTGCCTTTAATGCTTGTCATTTTTATATTCATTAAAACATATATTTTGGCATTTTATTATTATTATTATTGTATATTTGGCATTTTATTATTAATGTTGCTAGCCAAGTAGCTATTGAATATTAACTTCCTTTGCAGTCAGATTACATTCTGCCTAGACTTACCTTTTATCAAAACCAATACTAAGGATATTGAGTCCTTCAATTCAATTAGAAAGCGTCTGGGTTGCTGTCTCTAAAAGGATCAATTGCTTTAAATATTTGTGCATGTATGAATGTGAGCTTGTATCATTTTTGGTAGTATCCGGTAGCTTCTTCTATATGGGTGTCATATTTTATAATATATCCCTGTGTTTTAGAGAAAGGAAAGGTACCAGGGCTCATGTTCTGTACAACTCTTGTGGGTCTCACTCACATACTAGTCTATGGTACCTATGGAAGTGCAGAGTACACAATATAAGCAGCCTTGGGGGAGGCTATGATTGCCACCATCATTAGATAGGCTTCTAGGTAGCTTGTGTGTAGGCTATTGGGAAATAGCTATCCATGTATGCTTCAGGAGCAGTGGTGAGGACATCAGAGCTCTAGTAGGCCAGTGTTCACTCTGTGTGATTATGGGGTAAGATATATGGCATCTGCCAAGATTTAGAAGAAAGAGGCTGGTGAAGAAGACATTAGCACTGCTTCCTGGAAGGTTCGGGGTATGGTTGGCTTCAAGACCCAGAGGGGGCTGAGCAGCAGGTAGCAGGGTACAGGCATTCCCTAGTCTATAACTTCTCTAATGGTAGGTCTATATACTACACAGGAAGGGAGCTTTGTAAAATTTATTTTCGAACCTCATAGCACTTTAATGTTTGCCTTCCCTGCAGGCTTCCTGGTGAGCACACTTCATGGAAAGGACTCCCACTGCCAGCAGAGTACTCCATCCAGCTCTTATCTGCAACTGTAGATCCCTTTAAAGATCCTAAATGGAGCTGCTGAACTGTTGTCATGGTTACCAGGGGACAGTTGCTGAGGCCACAATGTTTTCAAGGAGGGTAGCCTTGGGTTGAATATCCTGAGTTTCTGATTAGGCAACAGCCTTAAGAGAATGGTTTCTCCCTTCCTTCTCTCTTCCTCAAAGTGTCTAACCATAAACCTGACCCTTGATGACTCAGATGTCCCCAGGGGTCCTCCTAGTCTCAGTCCAGACCAAACCTTAAACAATCAGACTGATCTAGGGTGGAAGCACTAACTGAGGTTGGCATGACTTCTCCTGCAAACCAAGAGCGGTTCCTGGACACTGGGTCCACGCAACAACTTCTAGGTAAAAGATGCAGCTGAAGTAACTACCTGGACTCAATATGTTAATAAGGAGCATACATTTTAACACTGTTTACAGGCATTCGTGTACTGACCTCATGTAATTCACTAACGTAGCAAGGGAGTAGGAAATACTGTCCACATTTTATCTATGGGGAAGGAAGAACTTGTGGTGGTGATGCCAAAGGCTGCACAAGGAGCAAGCGGCAGAGCTGGGATTCGATTTCCAGGCTGTTTGGTTTTAAGGGCAGACCAGTTTCCTCTAAGCCACAGTTGCCATTTTAGATACTGAGAAGAATTGATAGCTCCAAGAGACCATAACCATCTCCTGGACACAAAACATCCATCTATTTGTTAAGTAAACATGCCCTATGTCTGTTCTGGGCCAGATCCTCTTCTGGTCACTGGCAACATAAATACAAATCACACACAGTCTCTGCCCTTAAGACACTAACTTACTGACAGCCAACAGTAACTTAAAAAGAGGAATCTACAAGACTCTAGTAAAGGGAAGTTGGAGAAATCATTCTGGAAAAAATAGTACCTGGCTAAGCCAGCTCAGTCTCATGTTGTGTTTGTTGGGGTTGGGGGGAAGGCGCAGAAAAGGGGGAACAACAAAGTAAGACCCAGCAATACTTTTGCTCAAAGAACTCACAGAACTGCAGAAATAATTATGATACAAATACAGGGAAGGAGAATAAAATCCCTGAATAAGGGTCCGCATAGGTAAGCCCTATAAAAGTGTTGGAGGATTGAGAGACTAGATGCAAAAGGCTCAGGAAGAGCAGCTAAAGATACAGTGAAGAAAAAAAAAAGATAATGGTGATGATGATGATTCTTTGAGACATGGTCTCACTATGTATCCCTGGCTGGCCTGGAACTCTATATGTAGACCAGGATGGCCTGGAACTCTCTTTGTCAAGTGATGGGATTAAGAGTGTGTGCCACCGCACTGGGCCAATATTATTCTCTTATTTTGTTGGAATTACTTTGGGCTCTAGCCTAGTTTCATTTTTCTTCTTTTCATTTCCCAATGAAAGAAAACATTTATTTAACACACATCTAAAGCTTATGCTGAGGGCAAAATATTACTTCAGGCCCCTGTGGAGTGCCCTATAGTGGAACTATACAAAGGCAAAGGCATTGAGTCCTTGAGTAAACAACCAACATGGTGAAACTCTGAGATAACATAGGGAACTAAAATTATTAATTCAGATTTGAAAATAGGAGCTGTCAGGAACGATTTCATTATTGCTGGTTTATCCATTTATGTCTCCATTCAAGATTCATTTTCTGGTATTTCCCATCTACAATGTCAACTCTTTAGAGCAGTGGTTCTCAACCTTTCTAATGCTGCGACCCTTTAATACAGTTTCTTGTTTTTTTATGGTGACCCCCACAACCATAAAATAATTTTCGTTGTTATATCCTAACTGTAATTTTGCTACTGATAGGCATCGTAATGTAAGTATGTGTGCTTTCTGATGGTCTTACGCACCCTATGTGAAAGGGTCGTTCGACCCTGAAGGGGTTGCGACCCACAAGTTAAGAGCCACTGTTTTAGAGCAAGCACTGGTCTAGAGACATAAGCCACTAATGCACTATAATGTCATATACAAGCATGAGCTGTACCCAGGGTCATGAACGCCTGTAAATAAGAAATCAGAAGGCAGAGTAGGTACTTTGGGGACTGACTCCTCAAAAGAAATAAGAGTTTGCCAAGTGGAATCGACAAAGGCATGGAAATGGGCACTGAGAACACTGCCCACAGGATGGGAAGGCTTCAACCTTTCGCCTTTATTCTCCAGTTAACGGACTACCATTAAAAATATACGAGCAGAACACGACCGTGAATGGATTTTCGTTGTAGAAACACCCTTCCGTTCTGCATGGATGGTGGGGTAGAAAGCACAGAGTTTAGGGCTCAGCCAGGGACGCCCCACACCATCTGCATCTCAAAAGAAGGATGGAAGAGTAGGCGGTGCGGGTAGAGGTACCGAGGCTGAAGGGAATCTCTTCCGAGATGTACCTTCGGGATAAGAACTACGTAGTTCTAGGCACCGCACAGCTGCCGGGGAAAACCCACCTCCCTTTGCATCCGTCCCCCCTCCTCCGCCGGAGGCGGAGCTCGGGCCAGAGCACGTGATGGCTGGGGCACCCACCTTTACTCAGGGCAGGCCTCCCGTTTATTCTCGGTTTCATGGGTTGCCACTTCGACCCCCAACACTTCAGGTCGATGTTTCAGTATGCAAGATGCCCATTCTCCTCCGAACGTCTCTCTATGAGCTTTGTGAGAAGCCTTCTTTGGGAACCTAAATCGCGAAGGGGTCTTTGCCCACAAAAAAGATGGCGACACACCGCTTTCCCTGGGTACGCGGACTCGGCTCCGACGCCGGTCCCGCTGGGCGAGGCGCAGGCGGAAGGGGCGGCTCTGAGAGGACCGGAGACCTTCCTGGGAGGGGCTCTGAGCCCCGGAGGCGTGGCCTAGTCGGAATTGTAGGGTAGGATTGGGCTTCCGGGTGCTGGGCGGGGCCTCCGCAGCACCCCGCCCCTCCTTCCTCGAACCGGAAGTGTCTCTCGGTCTTTCCAGCTGGTTGTCATTTCACTCGGCTCGGTCCTGAGGAGAAGGACTCAGCCGCGGCTGCGGGACCCGGGCACCCGAGGCAGTGGCGGCGGCGGCGGCGGCGGCGGAGGCGGCGGCGGCTGCGGCAGCAGCGACAGCAGAGGAAGACGAGGAGGAAGAAGGGAAGAAACAGAAGAGCCAGGCGGAGTCCGCAACGACAACAGCTGGGACTGCGGGACCGGGGGAGCGCGGCGGCGGCGGCGGCGGCGGCGGCGGCGGCGGCGGCGGCGGCGGC